CCCCCCCCAACTCATATAATTCAACAAAATAACATACTGAACAGGGCTCAAAATATTCAAACAACTCAAGGCAAAAGGTATATATATAGATCACACTGAAACTAAAGCATAGAGTAACACGTATTCTCGCCTAAACCAAAACTAAAGGGATTCAGCTAAATTACTGGGAAAACAGAGAAAGAAAAGGGGCTCGGTTTTGCTGTAGCTTTTGACCGTTGCTTTCTGCTCTTTGCCGGGACCGACGACTCAAATCGCCGGCAATAAGGTGACTCTTGGCTGCTCCTCGTCACCGAAATTTGGAGCTTGGGTTGCGGTGGCTCACATCTGGATTCAGACGTCGACTCTCGGGAACTTCTTAGTTCTAAAGCTTAAAGCCCAATTCACCTCGTTGTTCACAGGCTCCCTCAGCCACGAGTGTTGCGGCTCTGATTCTGCCGCAAAATTGGAGCTGGGGTCGTCTGTGGCTCGGGACTGCTTAGTCGGACTAGGGTCGGAGCTCGAAGGTCGAATCGCAGCTCGACTTCAAATTGGTGGTTCTCTGGCGCGAATTTCAACGGTGGCCGGAGGTCTGATGCGATGGTCGCCGTAAATATACCTAACATAACATGTAAATACCTAACATAACATGTAACATGTAAATATACATCAAATAAACATTGAAAACAGATCCGGTCGAAACTATCCGCGTGCTCACGACTCAAAAGCTCCACAAACTGAATTATTACTTAATATGTACGTACATAATCGTGTTATATACTTAATACTGAAAACTAACATAAACAATAATGATTTTTTTTTTAATAAACTGAAATAAACGTTGAAATACATACTGTCTATATACACAACATAAATTGTCCGTTCGAAAGTTTTGATATATGCTCGATGCAATACTCCTCCCTACTGTTCTTGGAAATTGCTCCGACCTTGACCTCCTCCACCTATGATAAAGTCATTGGCGGCGTCAGGCTGGGACCGTCGACCCCTTTGTTGACATAATTTTCCGTAATCATTAAGAGAAAGTGATTAAGAAGTTAACTCTACTTAAAAGATAGTTCTGAACGGTTTAAGTGTGGACGCCTCAGAAATAGCAAGGGTAAAACCCGACGTCATTCTCCAACGTCACAACCGCTCCTCGACCACCCCACCGCTTCAACTGAGGTCTCTAGATATCAAGAACCTTATCAACCGAGGTCTGCAAGAGTTAACTTTAAGAAAGTTGAAGCGGCAACGACTCATCTAGTCATCGTGATTGTTGTCCAGCTGCCAGACAAACCGCCACCAAAAAAGCCACTTTACATTAAATGCGGTCAATAATAATTCAAAGGAAAATTCAATAATAATTCTAGATATTCTCAATGTATGGACGTCTTTTATTGATTATACCGACATCTTTTACATTCAACAATCTCTTCATTTCGTAATCATATTGTGATTTTACGACATAATCACCGTTGTTAAATTCCGTTTAACAACAACATGGCGCTAGAGGAAGGGCCTCACAAGTTTTTTGAGGTTAATCTTCGCTTTTGAAGTTGTCATCTGCTCAGACACTACAAAGGAACGTTACTTATTATCATCACAATGTCACAATCTGGGCAAGAACGGACTTCGCATGCTGCACACAGTCATAATACTAATCAGTCTGCTGGACGTACTACACGAGCATCTACTGTACCGGATTATTTCAAAATCGAGATTTTATCAAAGGTTTTACATCCCTCATGGCACGTGCATTCCCTAGTGCGTCGGCTTCTCCTCATGCTCAGTCTACGTTTTCAATAACGGTTGTACCTCAACCGAATGTTCATGCACAAAATCCGCCTACGCGCGCGACGACATCACACGCTACCTCTCAACCACGCCACGAATCTCCTCACCAGGAAGAAATACCCCGACTATTAAATAATCATCCACCCGATGTTCCAAATCCAGTAGCGGTGAGAAATCAAGAAGGGACGGCCGAAAGTCATTCTGGTCAACCTCACAGAGCTCTTGTACCTTCAAGGCCGGAACCGTTATGACCTGCGGATCAAGAGGATTTGTGTCAACAAATTGAAAGCAATCGTGTCTTTCGACAGAGTTCGGAAGAACTTGAAGCTTTACGTAGAAGGCTCACAGAATTGGAGGCGAGACATAAATCTCAAGAGGAGTCGCCTCGACATCATTCCATCTCGGGTAACGTGGTCATAGAGGCTGATTCCCCTTTAGATCCTGAACTTACAGTAGAAGTCCTTCC